CTAGCTTTCAAACGCAATTTTATTACCAAATAATAAGAAAGTCATTGTGTTGCAAAACTTTTTCTAATGTCATCTTTTGAGTGCACAGTATGATTATGTAACTTCTTTTACTGAAACATTTTTCACAATTTTTACTTTAGCATTGAATAAAGAAAAATTGCCTTAACCTGAACTAATATCTTATATCAGCCAAAATTTCACTTAACAGGAGTTCGCTTTAGTCAAACCATTTTTTTTGTTATTATTTATTTTGTTATAATTGGTTCGTTAGGTCAAACCATTTTCCTTATTCCCTTGGAGATTCCAGTTATCAGGAATTTTAAGGGGTAAACGTATTCTATCTGTTGACTAGCTTTGCACCCCTTCTTAGGCTGGCAGAGATGTATTTATAATGCATTGTTTGTAGTTTAAGATGGATCTGGATCTTGTGACTCAATGCACGGGTTTTGCTTGTGTCTGTTTTTATGACTAGGCAAATCATTCTAGTATCTCCTAATAAAAGTACAATTCTAAAACTTAGTTTTATGGTTCTGAGGCTGGCTGGTAGTCAGGATTCTTGAATTCTGTGGTAGTTCTCAGAGAGGCTGATTCCATCAACAACTGTAAAGTATCAAAGTATAAACAGTGTTATGTTGTGCATGGATGGTGTCCCTATTTGTACTTTTAATGTGATTTTCGAGGTTGCATTTCGTAGCTCTTTGTTACGGCTTAGGTTTTATTAATAGTAATGAGGCATTTGCTTAAACTATTAAATAGTATACTGGAAAATATCTTTGCATAGAGTTAAGTTCTTTAACAAATCCAAAAATGACTAAAGTACCAAAAACTATAAAACACAAAAAACCATCGTCATTACCAAGTTCTCTAAATCTATCATTCACTAATATTCGTGGTCTTCAAAGTACAGGGCTTGAATTTTAAAAAAATTTTAGCATTTTGAAAAACTGCAAACTCTGTTTTGATCATTAAACTTAATAACTGTTAATAAAAAAATCATGAATTATGAAATCTCATCATGAATTATGAAATCTCAAAAATCATATTATTACTATTACTTTTATTTTTATTATTTTTTTAAAATTATGATTTAAACTTTAATTTTTTAATTTATTTCATAAACCATCAGATAAAACTAGAATTTGATTAGGATGATTTGATTAAAAAACACAAATCACAAAGTTTAAAGGAATTTAGTGGTGATCAAATATTTTAATGAAAGAAATCACCTAATAAGATATAAAATAATTTTATACCTTATTTAAATCTTATTCAATATTTTCTTATAAATGGGTAACAACATCAGTTTTTGCTGTTTAATAACATCTGTCAAACAACATCTGTAAATATAATAATGTATAATAACATTTGTCCAACAACATTTGAAATATCATTGAAGTCTAATAACATCTGTGTAAAAGGTATATGATTACTACAGATGTAGTTACATCTTTTCAATTACCAATGTATGATAACATCTGTGCAACTATCTCTGGAATTTTTACAGATGTAGGTACATCTTTGCAATTATGTTAAGAACAACTACATCTGTATAACTACATCTGTGAATTCTACAGATGTAGTTATAGCTTTTCAATTATATTAAATGTAACTACAGGATTTTATGAAATTATTAAATTATAATGCATTATTTTAACCAAATATAGTTACATATATGTTTTTTTTCAGTTGTAGTTACATCTGAAAAAAAAAAAATAAATGCAATATTTTAACCAGATAAAGATGAGGTTGAGGATGAGGTTGCATATAAGATTTTTTTCAGATGTAATTACATGTGGAGAAAAATCTTTCAGATGTTATTGGACTTTGAGAAAAATGACCAGTCAGTCTTCCTATAGATGGACATGTCTGTCCAAGATATTGTTTTTTACTCAAACAATATCTTGGACAGATATTGTTTGAGTAAAAAAAAAATACAGATGATCCTGGACTAAAGTGTACAGATGATCTTGAACTACTCTACAGATGTTGTTGGACAAATCTAGTAATCTTTTACTGTTTAAAAATATATAAAACAAATTTAAATCTTTTATAGTTACTAAAAAAAAAAAAAAAAATCTAATAACTCTAATATTTAATAGTAATATTAAATTAATTAATAATAATAAAAAAATATTTTTTATTACCAATTAATTAACTTCCAATTTAAAACATTTAAATTTTTAAATAAATAGTTTATAAAAAGTTTTGCCCTAAGCAAAAATCAAACTTAATATTTCATTCAACGTGCAATTAGCTTTGGTATAATTTTTTAATCTTTAAATTTTCTGGTGTTTAAACAAACAATAATTAAAATATGTAAGTTTTGAATGTTATCATTTTTGAAGTAGTAAATTTTTTTTCATTAATTTTTGCAATATGATAAAATGACCATTTCATTAATAAACTGAGAATTTGATGACCAAAGATATTTCCAGATATTGCAATTCGTGATCACTAAATTTAAGCCTTGAAGTAATTTATCTTTTGTTGAGTCATATCTCTTCATCAGACCTATTTGCTCTTTGTGAGACTAATTTGATTTCAGCTGTCTGATCTTGTAATTTTAGTGTTGATAGTTACCTTCTTTAATTTGTAAAGTCCAATAGTCACACTATTGGCTTGGACATTCATAAGAATTCACCCATTTGTCGATAAACAAGGTTTGAATCCACAGACTATTCTTTTATATGCTTGCGTTTAGCATCACTTCACTCTATATCTCTTTCTTCTATATGACTAGCCTTCATCTCAAGACTGCACTCTTTTATTCCTGATCAAATTGACCAAGCCCTCTCTCTTTACCCTTTAGTCAATATCGTTGTTGTTGGTGAATTTAATGCTCATCACACTGAATGGCTTAGCTCTAGTGGCAGTAACTCTGCAGGCGTTAAAGCCCATAATTTTTTTCTTTCTTGATTTCTAACACAAATAGTCAACTTTTTAACTCACTTTCCAGATAATTCAAATCATTTACCTTCTCTACTCGAACTATGTCTTGTTTCTGATCCTAGTCAATGCTCAGTTTCTCTACATTCACCCTTAGGTGCTTCTGATCTCTGGTATGATCTCTGTAAAAATATTATCTTATTTTTCTTTATCATCAGAATCCCCCTATCATGCCTTATAGCTGACTGGGACTGTTTCCGTGATTTTTTTTGTGATGACTCTTTGGTAAAAATCTTTTTTCTACCTGCTGACAAATATGCTTCTTACATAACTTCTTGAACTCAGACGAGCATGGAATCTTTTATTCCCTCTGGATGATTCAAAGTCAAGTCTTGCTTTTCTCCATGGCTTTCCTGTCATTGTGCTGCTGCAATTTCCAATCATAACCATTACTTCTATATTTATCACCAAAACAATTCTCCATAAAACAGACATTTGTTTATTATTGCAAGAAACCATTGTAAAAAAATTTTGCCTAACACCAAAGCCTGCTATTCTCAGGTCACAAAATATATTGTATTTTATGTCAAAATTTAGGCTCCCAAGACTTCTAGAAAACCTTTAACAGTATCTGTAATAATAGCAAATCTGTTATTTTATCTCTCTTGCATGGTTCAGATTTTGTAACATCACCTAAAGACAAACCTGAATCGTTTGCTAGGAAATTATCAACCTCATTTTTTGATTTTACGATAACTTTGGTTAGATTCTAATAAACCACATGCAGGATTCACCTTTACCAATTTTGTTTATCAAATTTTCTGTGATGGTTAACTTTTTAGAAAGGAAAGGAAAATTTATAAGAAAGAAAGAATAATGCCATTGTCATTGGTAATAAATCAATGAGGAAAAAAAAATTTTCTTCAAAAAAAAGTTATTTTTGGAAAATTGTTTAAACTTTATAATTTTTTTTTTTTTTTTGGTTAAAAAAAATGTCAAAAAAAAAAAAGTAAAAAAATGCATAAATTTGTTTATTTTGTTGAACTCAACTATATTCACATAATAGTGCAAAAAAATTAGAGGAAACTTTAAATTGGTAAACAAAGTGCCAAAAAAATAAAAGCAGTGAGGATAAAATTTATCACTGTCTTTAGATTTAACAAACTGAAAATAAGGGATGTTTCAAAAAGATGACATCTTTATATTTTTTAATTCTCTATCCAATTGATATGATATCAGTCTAACTTTTTTAAAAGAACTTTTTTTTTTTTAATTTTTCTTTTTTTTTTTAAAGAATCACTTGAATTCAAGTAGTTTTTGTTTATCACAAAAATAATCTCTTATTCCAGGACATAAATTATTAACTTTTAAATGTTATTAACTTTTTCTAATTTTAACACTAATTCTAATAATTTTCTAATTGGTTTCACTTTCGCTTTAATTTAATTGGCTTCACTTTCGCTTTAATTCGTTAATTATATTATGATATGGTTACATTCAAGAAAATTTGAATATCAAGATTTTTTTGACAAATTTGATGATAGAGTTGAGCAGTCACACCCATCACTGTCTTGCTAAGATATTCAATAAACACTAAACACTTGATTGCCATGGTAAACTACAGGTAAAACTTGATTAATACAAACTTTGTGGTTAACTGTTCCATTGTATAAAATGACCAATGGTGTGCTACTTCTTTTTAACACCTAACCACACCATAGCCATTTGTGAAATTTTTTTTGCAAAAGTTTTTTTCTTTTTTTTTATATATTACAAAATATTTTCATTTAAAGTGTATCAGTTAAAATGAGTGATTTTCCCTTACACTTTAAAGTCAACAAACAGTGTTGAAATAATGTTGAACTAACATAGAAACCTAACGCTGAATTAACATTAATACAGTGTTTAGAATAAAAAATTTTAAAATACTAGTTTATCAACGCTATGTGTATTAATGTATTATTACACATCGATTACAATTATAGTCATAACCTACAGTAAGACTATTTAGATTATTTTTAGTTAAAATTAGTTAGAATAGTTTAATATAAGTAGAAAAAGAGATAATTTTATTTTATTTATAAATGTGATTTCTGAAAATTTTTTCAACTCACCTTAAAACAAAGAGAATAGAACTTGTCTGATAACTTATTTTCATTATCATTAGCTGCAAGTTGATACTCTAAATTAGAAACCTCCAATCTAGCTTTATACAAACGATAATGCAAATTATTTGGGTCAGTTTTAGTTTCAGCATGATGTTCCTTACTCCATCCCCATAACCATGAGTATGATCTATTGTATAAAAAAATAATAAACTACAAGATTATTTATTAAAAAATACATTTTTACAAAAATAATAAAATAACTTATAACTATTTGTAAATACTTTTATAGTTTTGTTACATTTGTATACAAAATTTTTGTTTGAGTCAAAAATGTAAATTATGCAAATAAACAGTATAGAGTAAATTAACAGAATGTTACAAAAAATACTTTTTAGAACTTTTTAAGTTATAATAAAAATACAGAAAATGTAAATTAACAACCTTTAAACAAGTAACGAAAGGTGTAGCAAAATTAACATCACTAAATAACAAAAACAACATCACTAAATAACAAAAATAACATCATTAAATAACATAAACAACATCACCAAATAACAAAAATAACATCAATAAATAACAAAAACATCACTAAATAACAAAAACAACATCACTAAATAACAAAATGAACAGAAATAGGTGAGGAGTGGGTCACATAAATGTTTTTAAAATTTCTTAAAAGTTTTTCTGTAACTTTTTATATCTGTTATAACAACAATATTCTGAATAGAATTTAGTTGTTGTTTTTTTTTATGCACATAATGACACCAATGGTTGGTGTCACTCTTTTATATAGATTTGGGGAAAAATATTATTATGTTTTTAATATAAAAGCAAAAAAAAAAAAAAAAAAAAATCAAAATAATTATATCTTAATATTTTATGCTTCAAAAAATATTTTAAATATTCAATATATTAAATATTTTTCTAACCATTTTATGCTTCATTGCTTATAAAATCTCATATCCAAGTAATATATATATATATATAAGTAAATAATAAAGTATTCAATACTTTTCTAAAAACAACAGAGGCTGCTGTTACTTAGAAAAATCACAAATGTGGTATTTTCTTCTTCTAATTATTCACCTTCCCAAGGCCGAGAAGGCCACTACAGTCGAGGAAGCTGCTTTTTTTTGTGTTACAACCCTCTCTTAACTCTATAACTCCGAAACATGAACCTCTACAAACAAGACCACTGCACAGAGAAACAAGTTGAGCGCGTACTACCAGTGATGTGGTGGGGGTTGAACTTGGAATTTCTCGCTGATGAAGCATTCTACCACTACACCACTGCAACATAGTATTTAAATAAAAGAGTTGTAAATAAATGTTTACCTGAGTTGCAATTAACTTTTTGAAGATATCAAAGAAGTTTTAAGATTTATTTATTGACAAAATAGATATAATAAGGAAAATTAAGGGACTGGGACTAAAAAAGATAAGGACTAAAAAAAACTAGGATTAAAAAAAGTAACTAAAAAAGATTTTACATAAGACAAAAAAATTTTACTGGTACTAAAAAAAATTTTACATGAGACAAATTGGTGAGAACTTTTAAATAAAACTCCAGTTTTAATTAGTTTATGTTTTAATTAACTAAAGTTTATGTTTCAATTAACTAAAGTTTATGTTTTAATTAACTAAAGTTAAAAAATTCATTTAAATTTTTAATGCAGTGAAACATAATAATAAACATAATTGTGCAGTGAAACTAAGTTAGAAAAAGATTTCCTGGTACAAAAAATAAACCACTCACTTAAACTTCTCAGCAGCTTGTACTTTGGAAAACATTGCTGTCACAGTTTTACAAAAATGTTTCTCAGTGTTACTCTTTAAACTATTTAATAAGTGGTGAATTTTTTCCTTATGGAAATAGTTTCAATTTTTAAAAAACTATTGTGAGATCACTTTTTCTTATTAATTTTCAAATAAATAGCAAAAGATTGTTATTTACTTAAAAATTATTTCTAAATTAGTGCCACTTATATATACTACTATATATATATATATATATATATATATATATATATATATATATATATATATATATATATATATATATATATATATATATATATATATATATATATATATATATCAGCGTGGAAAATAACGGGCGGTCAATGATCAATGACCGCCCGAAATGACTGAAATTGCTGTTTTGACATCCCAAAAAGAATTCTAGCCGGTCAAGGTTGACCGGTTAAAAAATCAGAGTTAGTCAGAAAAATCTTTTGTTAAACCCAATTTTAAATTTTTTAGATTTCATAACACCGTAAAACTTTGATAAAGCATCTAAAACAATTTTATTGCTTATATGCTACTTTTTAAAGTAGAAATTATTAATAAAATTGCTTTTATTCACTTCGTTGGAATGAAGCGAATTAAAATTCGCATCGCTGCAACGTGAAATTCGTTATCGTTTATTAATACTTGCTAATGCTTCAACGAGTATTATATATGACGTAAACTATATATATTAATTTTTTTGCTTCAGTTATTGAGATCAATTTTATTGAGAGTTTTTTTCCTTAACTGATTTAAGTTCTTATTTTATTATTATTTTAATAATAATATAATATACAATAATTGATGATTTTAGCTAAGCACTAAATTTATTTTTGCTCTCTCTATATCTCATAATTTTTTGTTGCAAAATGCATTTAACAAATGACTTTTTTTTTCTTCTTATTTTATTTACATGTCATGAAGAATAATTACTGAAGTAAAAATTTTAACAAAAAAAAAAAAAAAATTTGACTGCCCGAAAAAAAATTTTGACCGTCAGTTTTATGTATTTATCAGTTTTATAAATTTGACCGCTCGCCTTTGATTTTTTATTTTCCACGCTGATATATATATATATATATATATATTTAAAAGAATTAAAATTTAAAAAAATAAAATGTAACTACTTTTCAGAAATTGCTACTTGTAGGTCAGCACTTTTTTTGTCTTCTTCGATTAAATGGGAGTTCCAACAGGAAAGAACATCATATACAATGACACTTCCAAGAGAATGAGCAATTATGGATACTTTACCCCCATTTTTTTCAAATGATGGATTTTTTTCAGTGTATTGTTTATACACAGAGTTCAATATCTGACGTAGCATTGATATGATCTATGATTACAAAAAATAAAAACATTTTAATAAAAAAATTTAAAAAATGGCTTATATGTGTGCGTGTGTATGTGTGTGTGTGTGTGTGTGTGTGTGTGTGTGTGTGTGTGTATATATATATATATATATATATTAGGCCGGATCATTAAAATTAATTTTTTTTAGAATTTGTGAAAAGTGGCGTGATATAGTGTTGTTTTATATTTACAAAAAAAATATTTCTAAAGAATTGATTATACTTTGCATTTTTAAGTTTTAAGGTTTTATATGCTAAGTATATTTACTTTAGTACATGCATTAACTGAAACATGCATTTAACCCTAATACTAGATATAATCCCAAGGTTATGAAATTGAACCAAACCTATACCTACCTAACTAAATTAACCCTAATGATATGATTAACTCCAACGCTATTATAACTTTATATTATTATATTAATCTATTTTTATATGATTGTTTATTAATTTCTGCTTTTATCAACTGATTGCAGAATTTATCCGTCTCATCTTGTATTTTTAGAAATTAACTGAAATTCTGATATGTTATAAAATTGTAAAACAATAATGATTTCAAGATCTAAAGCTTCAAAGAATCATTATATACTTTTTGGAGAAGGTCGTGAATTACCCAATTTTTGCTTGCCAACCCACAAGCAAGTAGACAAAGCATACTTGTCTGAGAAGAATTATGAAACTGAACCACTACGGTCTGTTTGTAAGAGACTAGCAGAGAAACTTTCTCAGATATGGATTAAAGCATCAGTTCCTACTATAAGTCTTCGAGGCATAGAATTACAGCTGGAGAAGTACATAGGCGATGTTCAGAAAGTGATTCGATCAAAGTCTGCAACAGTCAAACAAGATGAAATAGAAAAAGATCTTGACACATTGTTTGACATTTGTTCGTGTAAATGCAAAGAGCTTTTGTCTTGTTGCTGTCCAATGGTTCTGAAGGTGCCAGCAATTGAGCATGACTTCCTAACTGATCAACGCACTATACGTGTTGGCAGAATAGCTGGAATCGACAAGAAGGAATCAGCACGTGCTGAGAGGCGTTTAAAACGAAAATCTGTTTCATTATCAAAGGAAGAGACTGCAGTTAAGTGTGCCAGAGTCGTTGAAGCATCTGATAATGAATCAGATAATGAAACAGACAACAATTCTGACACCGAAACTTATTCCCCTTCCGTATCAAATGTCGATACCGAAGTCACATCTAATCGTCTGAAAAACCGTTGTTTAAAAAATATTGCTCTACAAGCAGATGGTTTTGGCATATCAGATAGAGCAGTTGCCGCGATTGCATCAGCAACTCTGGTTGATTTTGGTATAGAACATATGGGGCCAGTGGATCGGAATAAAATTCGCAGAGAATGAAAACAACTGAGAACATCCTGTAAAAATACTGATTGTAGCATTACTGGATTGTATTTTGATGGAAGGAAAGATCAGACTTTAAAACTTGAGGGGGATAGGCAGAATGTGATTTCTGAGGAACATATTTCCATTTTATCAGAGCCAAATTCAAAGTATGTTGATCATTGTACGCCATTAAGTGGATCAGCCAAATCCATTGCAGATTTAATAATTGATACTGTTGACTGCACGAACCTTGTTTGTATTGGTTCTGATTCAATTAACGTTAATACTGGTTTAAACAATGGAGTTATATGCAGAATGGAAATTGAACTTGGTTGACCACTGCACTGGTCCATTTGTCTTTTACATCTGAATGTAAAAGACAAAAGGACCAACTCCCTGAGATACAATTTCAAGCGACTAGTTATGAAGAACTGATTGACTGGCAAACACAGCCCCGCTTGGAACCTGTTCTGACAAAACATATTCCAACTGTACAAATATTGGCATGGCTTTCGTCAGCTGAAGACATAGTTATTGACATTGAGCCATTTCCATGTCACAATCAAAGTGTTGAACGTGTGATTAAAATTGTGACTGAATCAGCATCCAAAGTTTATGGTCATGAAAATTGTGATGGCTATATTCGCGTTCAACTGGAGCGCCGCAAGTTGATGCCTCACTTTGACACAAAATCTGAATTTAAGAACATTTAAGTATAGTTTCTAATCAACGTTTGCTAATGATATATTGTTTTGACTGTTCAAATAATTTGAATTTTATTATACATTCAATCAATAAATAATGTAACAAATGAGCGTTTTTAAGTTAATTTATTTGAAAACTTCAAAGGTAAAAATGCAAAGTATAGCAAAGTAGTAGCGAAAAACGGTTTGCAGCATTGCATTCAGCGTATTTGAGAGCCAATTACTGGAAATTCCCGAAGAAATTTTCCAAATTTTTTTAAGTTATGATCCGGCCTAATATATATATATATATACAGTGCTGGCCAAAAAGATCCGACCACGCATTGTTTATCTATGTATACAGTATGTACATTGTAGTGTAGGCGCTTTCCTCGGAATTTCACCATCACGCTTTGCATGCGTGATTGGCTAGTTATCAGCCAATCAAAACAGTTGTACCATTGTTATATATACCATCGCATGCGTAGCTGTGAATTACTATTTGCATTTGACTATGGCGACAACATCACCTGGAAAACGTGCTAAAATACAACTTTTGATGGAAGACGGGAAGTCTGAACGTGCGATTGCCGCACGTTTACAAATGCCTAAGACAACTGTTCACGACGTCATTCAGCACATCAAGTCAACAGGCACCAGCGCTGCAGGAAGATCCAGTGGCAGACCGAGATGTACCACATCAAAAACTGACGCTATGATCCGCCGTGCAGCCACGAAGGACCCACTGGCATCATCTTCACAAATTCTCAATGAACTGCCTCCTGATGTGAATGTGAGCTCTCGCACCATTCGGCGACGTCTTGTGGACGATTTCAGTCTTCGATCGTATCGCGCTGCATTAAAACCACGACTATCTCAGAAAAATATTCGTGACCGCCTCAAATTTTGTAAAGCACATAAAAATTGGACCGTGGCAATGTGGCGACGTGTCATGTTCTCAGACGAATCGCAGGTGAAACAATTTGCTACGCATAAAGTGAATGTTCGACGGCCACCAAACACACGCTACAATGCCCGATATGTTGCTCCAGCGGTAAAACATTGCCCTGCAATTATGATTTGGGGAGCAATTACTGCCAGAGGTCGAGCGGGAATCTATCTCATGCCGCCAGGTGAAACTATCAAAGCTGTTAATTATTTGCAAATAATAAAGGAAAATGTTCCTATTTGGCTCAGAACTCGCAACTGTGACATCTTTATGCATGACGGCGCGCCATGTCATCAGGCAAAGATCGTCAAGACATGGTTTCAAGAGAATTCCATCAATGTTCTTGCTCCGTGGCCTGGCTCGTCACCGGATTTAAACCCGATTGAAAATTGCTGGGTAAAATTGAAAGCAGAAGTGGCAAAAGCAAACTCGACGTCTGCGACAACTTTGAAGGAGGCTATACTGGAGGCGTGGTCCCAAAAAATAACGCCTGATTACTGTGACTCTCTTGTTGCCTCTATGCCTCGAAGAATAGAAGCTGTCCTCAAAGCCGGAGGAAGACATTCGAGGTACTAGAAACTCTTTTCTGATGTGAACTACTTGTTGGTTTCTTCGAAAGTGTGTCATTGACTTATGTGAATGTTGTTTGTTGCGTTTAATTCAATCATATTATCATTAAATTGAAGTGGTATTACGTTTCTGTCTAAAAACCTTAGTGGTCGGATCTTTTTGGCCAGCACTGTATATATATATATATATATATATATATATATATATATATATATATATATATATATATATATATATATATATATATATATATATATATATATATATATATATACATATATATATATATATATATATATATATATATATATATATATATATATATATATATATATATATATATATATATATATATATATATATATATATATATATATATATATATATATATATATATACATATATATATATATTGCCTATTGGAATCAGCCATGAAGTACAAAATCAAAATATGGTGGGAATGAATTTTGAGTAAAATTTAAAGTTAAATCAAAGTAGTTAACAATTTAGTCAACAAATCAACAAATGATAGGGATATTGAGATTGTTACATTTGAAAACTTGAACAGAATATGAATTTGAGCAACATTGAACAATATGCTTTTTTATTTACTACATTTGATAGCCGCTTTTATTCTTAAAAACAGCTAAACTGTCATCTCGATATAAATCAAAATCATTTTTATTGTAAAACTGTAAAAAAGTTGATCAAAAAGAAAATCCTAATTAGTTTGCAAACTTCCATGCTGCCATGGTGACATCATATGCTCCCATGGTGACATCAAACAATCCTGCTTTTTTTTAATCCATGATATGCCGTCGTTAAAAATGAAAAATTTTCTTGCATGACATATAACAGATTTGTTTTGCTATTATTATATAATGCTTGGCAAAGGTAATTATTATATAATGCTTGGCAAAGGTAATTACACTATTGAGTATGGTTTCATCAATTGACAGATTAAAATCATTTATATCAAATACTAAGAATTAACAAAGGTGTTTATAATCAATTTACATCAGCAACTCTGGTTGATTTTGGTATAGAACATAACTTTTACCTCATCATTATATCAAATACTAAGAATTAACAAAGGTGTTTATAATCAATTTTGCGGAATCAATATTACATTCTGGGTATTTTGCCTTTAATTAAATAAATGCTTATTTAAAAGAATTTAATAAATCTTATTAAAACTATCAAATTTTGCAATCTCGGCTACACCTTTAAAAAAAAATAAAAAAATAATGATATTAAACCTTTATGCAAATCAGAAAAAACTTCAACTCCAGCTGATAAAACTTCCAACATGTACAAAGTATCTAACGATAATTACAACCACCTTCTAAAAAAAGCATTCAGTTAAATTTATAAAAAGGCTGATCCAAAACTAAAGGTGGTGTCAGATGCTAAGCTCAATTATTCTCAGTTCTCT